TGCACCAAGTATGAAATGTGTATGAGTGTATTTCTTAGTTTCACTCCTTCTTAAAATGTATGCAGGCAAGAAACATCCTCAAGCGTTCAGGTGGAGAGAAATTATTGGTTTGCAAAATTCTATGCCTTTCCCAGTAGCACTGATAGATTAACAGTACAATGGGGTGTGTGACAGGGCACTGATCAACCACTATGCTGGTGTACCTTGGACACACCAGTGCAACCCAGAGATACACTGGCACCATGCCCCAGTGCCACACACCAGCGTGGCCCCCTGCCAGAGTGTGACTGATACAACCCCCCGTGCCAGCAGCAGGGTGGGCAGGCCTAGGGGAGTGGCAGGAGTTAGTCAGCTCCCTAAGACACTTCAGCCTGGGAATATCCCCAGCCGGCAACACAGCGTTACACCCACAAAACCTATGGCATAGCCCAAAGGCACTCATGGAGACCAGAAAAACCAAAAAAAACCCCCACCCCAACAGCTGCCATGTTCACTGTTCCACACCTCTCTGTGGCAAGTCCCCCCCCACACCAGAGGCAGTGGCCATACCAGGGCAGACATGGCAGACGGCCCCAGGGCGGAAAGCAGCACAGTGCTTGGCCAGCGAGATGCTCCACCCTGAGACCGATCCAGCACCAAGGCTGGCCCCAACAGAGGCTGAGGGCAGCCTACCCAGGTAATCTCCAACCTCTACACCCCTCTACCTGCCCAGAACTTTTTTCTTTTCCCGCCCCCCCCCCCCCGAGACCTGCCTACCACCTGCGTTGCCAAACACCAAGCGGGCCAGACCGCCCCCAGAAGTACACCCCCCCCCCAGATCACCTATTCGCTGAAAAGTGACCGGTCCAGCAGGTAACCTCCATGGCCCCACATGCGCCCCTACCCCACCATGGAACCATCCTGAGACACAGCAACAGAGCCCACCAGCAGGTGGGTAAGGGTTGCCTGCTCCATGCACATCTACATGGCTGCACTAGTGTTTGTCCTTGCCCAGCCAGGACCTCTCCTGTGATCCATCCACATGCCACCCGGCAGCTGGCATCCAGAACTGTCCATGGCAGCAGCAGGACCAGCACAGCTCTGCCCAGAAGATCCTGTCATACAACCCCCAGACTGACAGCCCTGCCACACTGGCTCAGCCCCACACACACACAGCAGCCTCCCACTAAGTCTGGGAGGCGGATAAGGCACGGGATTGATGCAGACACAGAGTATGCTGTGAAGGAGTCACAGCACTGCACAGGCAGGCAGGAAAAAATAAACGATAAATGCCGTTACCTCCATGCTGTTCAGCCAAGTCCTGTGGCCAGAGATGCATGGTGCTGCCTCTCTCCTCTACCTACTGTGCCCCTGGAGCCAGGTTTCCACGGCAGCTGCCCTGTGGTTGGTTCGTTCACCCTGTCCATCACAGCCTCACCATTGTGTCCTTGTGATATCTTGTGGGCACAACAGTGGGGTTGCTGGGGACACCAGCTTGGGTGGCCCCACAGCAGGGGTATTCACCCAGTCAATGACCTGTGTGGGTTCCCCTTTGGGACACAGACCCGCTCTCAGGATCGCACTGCCTGAGAAGCACAGCACAGACCTTCACAGACCAGAAAGTAGCCAATTTATCTGAGAATGTTACAGCTTGCTGTATTGTGTATTCTAAAAGACCACTCAAGTAATGTTACCTTACCTGAAGGACAGCATCCAGGGCCTTGGAAACCTGGAAACTTCTCAAAAGTTGGTCGTATTTTTTCAAGTAAGTTTTTACAGGCTTTGTGACAAGGATATCCTCCTAAAAAGGAAAAGATGACAGTTTGTGACAGGGGCTACAGAAAAAAAAAGAAAAGAATCCATCTTATTGTAATATAACTTCTACCTTACATTTTTCTCTCACCTTTCCACCAAGGCACTCAGAGAAATGTAGGTAAGTTCTCCCCATTTATCCTCACAATGATCTTGTGAGGTAGATTTGGTTGAAAGAGATGACTGAAACACAGTCACCAACTGAGCTTCCTGGCTAAACAGGGATTTGAGCCCATGTTTCCCAAATTTTACTGCTTGTATTTCTAACAGTCAGCACTGGGAGCCAACATGGTGTAGTGGTTAAGAGCAACAGACTCTGATCTGAAGAACCGGGTTTGAGTCCCCATTTCTTCTGCACATGAAGCCTGCTGGGTGACCTTGGGCCAGTCACAGTTCTCTCAGAACTCTCGCCCCCCCCCCACTTCACAAGGTGACTGTTGTGGGGAGAGGAAGGGAAGGAGATTGTAAACCACTTTGAGATTCCTGAGGCCACTTTTTAAGCAATCAAAAGGCTTCCTAATGTATTGTAGGTCTGATGTCTCCCTAAATATTTCTATCTTGCTGTATTGTATGTCCTATTAAAATTGTGAGCGGAAGATCTGATGTTTACATCCTGTGTCTTGTACCTGCTTTGGCATGTAGTTTCTTCCTTTCACAAATGTTCGATATGTGGGCCTCCTCCTCCTTCCAGAACGCTGCTTTTCTTCATGTTTTCGATGTTTGATATTCAGTATTCCATTTGTCATGCCAACAACTAGGGTTTCATCATTTGGCTAAACGGAAGAAGAAACAGGTTTGCTGAATCCAGAATTGTAATTCAGAGATTATTTCGGACATGTTTTCTATGAAACTGCCATACGCCAAACCCAGCCACTGGTCCACTGAGCACCAAACTCTCTGCTCCAAGTGGCACCCAGAGGGAAATTCCAGTATGGTATGAAGACCCATGGAGCAACTTGGGTCTGGATGGGAGATCTTCTGGGGACCACCTCACATATGCTGCACAGTGGAAGAAAGATGGGATTCTTTCTTTCTTTACTCCTCTGACCTACAGGTCTTGAGTAGTATCCGTCAGACCCAGCTGGTAATAGAAGAAAGGAAGAACTCAATCAAGCCAGACAGAACAAGGGCATGCCATATAAAGGAAGATGTCCTATTACAGGCTGCCCAAGTTATCATGGCCTGAACAAGAAAAAAAAAGAACGCTTTATAATCTGGAATCTATTAAAATTTTAGTGACTAGAATAGCTGGAGGAAAATCATTCCACTGTTGCATTAGGGGTTTAATCCATTTCTCTCTAGCCTCATTACACCATTGACATTCAAACAGAACATGGGTCAGTTTCTATCCCACCTAAATCACAGCATCTGAGAATGGTATCCCTAACATACATCCTTCGGAAATCGCAGATGGTAGCACATGGAATCTTAGAAGCATAATTGCTCATCTATACCTTGGAATTGTGAGACTAAACAGATACTTTGGTATTGTAAAGAGAGAAGAACAAATGGAGAACATATGGAGAGAAGAACAAACATGTCTAGCTTGGCAGACGGTATTGTTATCAGTCTCCATGATCAGCTGCTTAATAGTCTTACACACTAAAGGCCATCCTAATGCCAAAACTACATTCTCAGGACACCCCAAAAATATTCAGTTTTTTTGCTATGGACTGATTCCATGAACTGGAGGTGATCAGATTTCATACAATATAATAAACTCTTATCCACAGAAAACATTTTGACTTTCAAATTTAATGCCAGTATCCAGGCTCTAGCTTTGATAGAATGCTGAGTTCCAGTCTAAGGGCAGTAACAACCATAAACTTTGGTATCTCACAGATTTGGCGTAAAAATTGTATTAGTGGCTGATCTATAGCCTTGTTCATCTTATGAATAAAGGTGGGATATTAATCCAATAAAAAACAGAGTAAGCAGACATGGTCATTCCCAGCACTTGCTGTCTTTCACTAAAGCTGCCAGGGGACTGATCTTGGAATCATCTGCTTACAACCCACGTGCTCTATACCACTAAACCCTGGAACGTCATGCTTTCGTTGCTTGATTCAAAGACACTAATTTAAATTACCGAAGAATGGCCCTAGAGAAAATGTCTAGAATATTTTCTCTAGAGGGCACCAGTCAAAAGGCACCCCTGCATCTGAAGCAATTCCAAATTCAAAAGAGTGAGGGGGGAGGGGAATTAGAACCTGCAAAGTTACCAAGCCTAGCAAGTGTACAGCTTGAAACGTCTCACAATTAAGGTAACTCACAGATAAACATACTCCAACAAGCAACTTCCAAGACACAATCCAGCATCCTAATCACTTGGTTACCTATCCCAATATGTGAATACACAAGGTGGAACACAACCTGATTTTTGAAAACTGCACTTGCTCCTCACGTGTATTTTGCAAGCATCAAACTATTTCAAACAGCCTGACCCACATGACACACAGACATAGCTGCACTGCTTGGTGGTGTGGCCACCCTAGATTTTCAGTGCCATATGTAAATGCAGCCCTAATTGGACAAAAACATTGGAAATAGGACTGAAGGATGCAATGCCATAGATAACTCTGCAGCAACATGCCAAGCCACAGCAAACGATGTCCCATCCAGTGAGAAGAGCTCCTGTACAAGTGCCATTCACTTGAATAAGATCTGCATCCCACAGGCATGCTATCATACTCATACAATATTTCATCTTATTCATATGAAATCTGTACATACAACAGGTTTGAGATAATATCAGTGACCAGAAGGCCTTTTAATCATACGTACTGCTAATGCAAGACTGAGAATGGAGGCTTCATAGTGAAAGCTGTGAACCACTTTGTAGGATGTTGTACTGTACACCTTCACGTGCCTGCATGGATAAAAAATAGCTTAGCAAGTAGTTAGATGATATCTCTGAAGAATTAGAAATTTAATTTGCACCATACCGCTAACATCTTGTCTGTTCCAGTTTTGCTTCCCATTATATCAAAATAGATTGATTGGGATGCAGAGAGCTCCGCTTTTATTTAAATGAGCTTCACTTTTATTTTACTTAAAATAGCCATGGTCAGGCAGGCAGGCTTTCTCAAGACACACACACAGCCTTCCAAGGTTAACCCAGATTCTATGGAGACAGATCAAGATGGGTAGCCATGTTAGTCTGTCTGTAGCAGTAGAAAATAACAAGAGTCCAGTAGCACCTTAAAGACTAACAAAATTTGTTGCAGGAGATAAGCTTTCATGAGTCACTGCTCACTTCTTCAAATACAGCACTGTATCTACCATAAATCATACATACAAAAATCATAAATCATACACACAAATAATGCATAATCATACCATACATCATACATATAACGCATGCATTTGCACACCTGATTCTCTTTCCTCCAATCATGTGGAAGAGGCATGAATAATGTATGTTTGTCTCTACTGAAACTGTGAAACTCCACTTTTGCCTGACTAATTGCTTTGGAATGCAAAGTTCTGATAAGCCTTTTGCCCTATGTTAACCTTGACTACAGCACAGCAGCTCCTCACATACACTTTTTAATAGTGCTCTCTCTGCAAAACTTGGCTTGGGAAATAGTCTTTAGAGACTCTTTGATTTTACTATAATTTCTGGGAAAATGACTTTTAATGATAGATAGAAATACTTCAGAGGATTTATTGTTAGTTATACCAAAAATTTATGGATGATAAACCTGTTCAAGTTCCCTTGAGAGATCTTCTGAATATGCTCACTGTGGCCATAAAAAAAGCTCTTGAAGAAGCCTTTCACTCAGTACAGACAGAGATCCAAATAAAGACCCAACAACTCAAATCTAAGAGCCAAATAGCCCAGACAGAGTGGAAAGAGGAAGAAAAAAGATTGGATTGCCTTGAAAATGCAGAGGGAACCTACAAGCAACATGACTGGAATTTGCCTACAAAGCCAAATACAACCATTACAAAAATGTACCAGAGACTTTATAAAAAAAATTATGGCAGATGAAATTCCCAAAACAGTGACTTCCTTACCAACTCAGAAAGAACAAAAAAATCAATTTATGAAATTACAAGCTACTACAAAGATGGAATACAGACAGTTACTCTTAGAAGACGATTTTTATACTTATAAAGGGAAGAGACAGAGAATTAAGACTTTCAAACTTAAGAGGACGAGTCAGAAAATCAAGAAAAAGTTGATAACTACAAAAATTTTGGGGAAAGCATGAGGGAACTCCCTCCATTTTAGGTCTATATCATTGACATATTGAGGGAGCCCCAGATACTCTTGAGGGAGTAAGATCCTAATATACTTGCGCTTAGAATAAAGAGTCATACACTGTACAATATAATTCAAAATTTAGTAACATGCTTAGGGAAACTTTGTATTGAGAGTCCCTTGGACTCCAAGAAGATCAAATCAGTCAATCCTAAAAGAAATCAACCCTGACTGTTCCTTGGAAGGCCAGATAATGAAACTGAAGCTCAAATACTTTGGCCACCCAATGAGAAGGGAGCACTCACTGGAGAAGACCCTGATGCTGGGAAAGATTGAAGGTCAAAGAAGACGGGGACGGCAAAGGATGAGATGGTTAAACAGTGTCATAGATTCAACGAACATGAAATTGAGCAAACTTCAGAGGACGGCGAAAGACCGGAAGACCTGGCGTGATCTGGTCCATGGGGTCGCGAAGAGTCGAACTCAACTGTGTGACTGAACAACAACAAAGAAACTGTATACTCTTGTATTTGCAAACTCTATATAAACAATGTATGATGGAGAAATGAGATGGATTTGATGACTGTATGAGGTGCTGTAATGGAGAGGAAATTGATGTGCACTGCTGTATCCCTAACTGTTTTGTTTGTTTGTTTTGGAAAAATAAAAACGTTATATATATATAAAAAATAAGGCTTCATTCTGCACTGGCAACCACAGGATATGTACGAAACCATTACCTCATAAAAAGCCAGGAAGTTAAATGGTGAGAAGTACAAACCTATCTAGCGAGCCAGAAAGCAGCCTCTGACCAGAGCTCGTCAGGCACAAACAGGTTACAGTTTTATGGTGATTTCTCAAGGAGACGAGTAACTGCCCTCCTTTAAGGACATCCCATACTTTAACATACCGACCACCTGCAAGAGAGCGAACAAAGACTTTATTTGCACACCCATTGCATCACAAAAAGAAAATTGGAAATGAGAGAAATTAAATTAAGAACAGTCACAGACTTTAATCAGGGTACAGCCAAAGCCTATTTACATAAACAGCATGGAGTACTTAAGCACATCAGGGTTTGAGCACACCAGGGTTTGATAATCAGTTTGAGAACAGACATCCATATACTCTGTCTATAAACATGCAGCCTGGTAGGAGAATATACACAATTTGTGACCTACACCAACCCAGTTGCAATCCACAGCAACACAGTAGGGCCTGGCATGCTCAACATCCTCTCTGCCTTTATAGTCCTGAACAGGCTGAAAAAACAGGTGGTGTATCAGACTCCTAGTGAGCTGTCACACACAGCTAGTAAGCTGTGGCTTTTCTTGGTGGGTCACAGACTGTGCAGACAATTCTCAGAAGCTACAACCAAACCCTCCTGGAACTTAAATATTCAGGCATGAGTGACACATAATTTACAACTATATGTTTTTCTCAGTGTTGCCTGTATTACCAATCAGATAAGAATTCTTGAAAGACAAAAATAAAAGCAAGCTACAATCCAACAGGAAAAAGTAAAAGGAAACTTGGCTACTTGATAACATACCTGCAGTCACAAGAAGACCTCCAGAAGGAAAAAGGTTAAGACTTTCCACTGGGTGCCCATGTTCTATTGTCATGACGCTTTTTTCTGTCCGGGTATCAAATACTTTCACAGTATGGTCATATGAGCCTAAAAACCATCCCAGAAAAAGAAAAGTCTGAAATCTTTCGTAGATATTAAAGAACAGAATACTGCTTTAGGTACAGCTGAATACACTGTGTTGGATCATAAGAACTGCATTTGTTAATGCTTTAAATAAGTAGAATTACACTGATTTACAGTGAAGTAAGTGAAAAATGAAATACAAGCTAGAAGAAGAAATCATCTTAAAGCAGCCAATCTGGCCTATCAGAATACAATCAAACATGCAAAAATCACATACAACAAAATATTCAGGCACAGAGCTGAATGAAATAAAATGCAATAAGGAGCAATTGTAAAGAGGACCCTTTTCTGAATAAGCAGCAATTGACACAGTAAATGTAATGAATTAGCTTTATTTGACACAGGTAATTATAAACCAAACCTACAAACCTGTTACAAAGAGATCTGCGTTCAGTTTACTAGCGCAGCCACATCTCACATAGTCTGTGTGCTCTCTATACGCAATGATTTCTGAGGCGGAAGAAACATCCCACACTTTGGAGGTATAATCATCTGCTCCAGATACTATTCGGTATTTGTCAGACAGAAAGCTGGCAACATGTACTGCTCTAAAAATAAATAAATAAAATCCAGATATTAGCCCCCTGCACATACTTTGCCAAATATAAGAAATGCGGGGGAGGGGGAATGGTATACAAGAGCTTTCAGGCCAGATTCAGGCCTCTGGCATCTGGAAATCTATCTAGAAAACTTCTGCAGAGTGAGAAGAATCTAAATGCCAGCTTGTTATAATGACTGAGAACGTAGGCTCTTGAGTGGAGAACTAATCTTTGCAGAACGGATCTAACAGCTAAGTAAACAGCAATGTACACTTGAAATTTAAAAATATAACATCACGTTTACTGCTTAAATTAATACACAGTGGCTACAGGCAACAAGCCATTTGTTTCAGGATACGTTAAAGAAATACATCAAAGCTGGAAGTCACAATGCATATAACTGAACTGTGATCTCTTACTTGGTATGGCCCTCGAACTGTCTCAGTGCTGCTCTCCCACCAATGTCAAAGAGTCGAATGCTGCCCTCTTCACTGCCAGCTACCAACAGCTTCCCATCATCTCTATACGTAGCACAGTATGCAACATCTTTAAACCGAGAGAACGTTTTGATTGGCTCCTGTGAGTATCGGCCATAGATGTGAATCTAAAACAAAATACATTTCACCTGTCAGCAGGTATTAAGTGGAAAAGCAGCTGAACAAGGCTTGGAGTATGATGCTGGATGTTGAACTGTCCATCCCTGCCCAGAAAAACACTCAAGTGGGAATAGGTGGAAGAGAAAGCAGGCAGGAA